AAAAAAAAAAGAAAGAAAGAAAACCTTACAAAAACCCCAAAAGAACTGTAAGGACACAGCAAAAGCAAAAGAAGACATTCTTTTCAGCATAATATTCTTAAGACATTCACGGTCTATATGGCAAAACTGCTCCTGTTTTGTACGATATTGTAACCTGAATATTAAAGTTTGATGCACGGCTGGGTTTGATGAAAAAAAAAACTATACATTCCCGAGTCACAAGCTTGCAAGCACACAGCCACACAAACACTTATTATATACAAGTAAAGAGAAATGATCTCCCTTTAATTACTTTCCCAACATTATCAATTTTCAGACATGATTCTATTTCTCATAAAGACGCTGTGCCCTACTTTCTCTGGGCAGAGCGGGAAATAAACTACAAAATGCCTTTTTTTGTTAGATCCAGAATTGATTATTGTCATGATCGATATCTGATTGACTCGATTCTTGTCCCTGAACCATTGGTCTGGTCGATCGAACCCTAGCACTCTTCAGCACTTAGTGTTCGATTTCCTACAAAACGATTTAACAGTTTTGCTATCACGTTTACTGACCTCACATGGCCAAGTCTCTATATTAATACCTCACTGTTGTTCTCATGGTATGGTATGATATGAAATTGTATGGTATGGTTTTGTGGGACGTGGCGTGGCGTGGCATAGTGTGGTATGGTTTTGTGTGGCGTGGCGTGGTATGGCGTGGTATGGCGTGGTATGGCATGGCATGGTATGGCGTGGCGTGACGTGACGTGACGTGGAGTGGCGTGGCGTGGTGTGGTGTAATGTGGTGTGTCGTGGCGTTTTAAGGTGTGGTATATCATGGTATGGCATTGTTTGGTGTAGTGTGGCGTGGCGTGGCGTGGTGTAATGTGGTGTGGCATGGCGTGGTATGGCATGGTATGGTATGGTATGGTGTGGTAAAGCATGGTATGGCATGGCATGGCATGGCATGGCATGGTATGGTATGGTATGGTATGGTATGGTATGGTATGGTATGGTATGGTATGGTATGATATGGTATGGTATGGTATGGTGTGGTATGGTACAATATGGACTATTCGTCTCCCTTCCATGCTCTCTCTACGGTTTGGCCAGCATGGTGTAGTGTCATGGCATGGTATTGCAAAGAGATCATGTTTGAACACAAACTATTGAAACTGGCCATATTCGATTAAAAATCCCTCATCATGAAGGAAGTAAAGCTTCGACCCTGCCTGCCCTGTTCAACGTGAACAATTATACGGAACAAGACAAACAGTATTGCTATCATCCTCCTTCCCATTGTTGTGGCAGAACCTATAATGTCTTTTACCTACACGGAGAAGAGTTTACCCAGTGCAGTTCAGTTGCGATTTGTTCAAGTTTGAAGGATCTGATGTCAGACCACTTGATGGTCTATCGTTATGTTTCTGTTCTCCATGATGGCCTTCCTTCACACCAGTCTGACAATTATTCCACTTGGGATTTTAGTGTACTGCCTACCCTTGCCTAGCGATGGGTTCTGGTTTGGGTTTAGGCTATTGTTCTGGATTGTAGGAGACTAGTAACCGTCAAGTTGAAAAATTGTCAGGCTGGCCCAATGGTAGACAGCCAAACAGAACAGAAACATCATGGCATATGAAATGCCACCAATAATTATCTTTTGCATGCGCATAAATTATATGCTTGCACAAGGTTTCTGCCTCAACGTACAATGTGACAAACTTAACGTTCAAATGGTGAGTGAACAAATTTGAATAAGTCATTCAATTGTAAGCCAGTTCCTCTCGTTTTTTTACGCTCTTAATCCTTTCATCATTATTTCCTCCCTTTCCCGGCACGAGCAATTAATTTCGATGCTGCTCTTCGGGTTTAAGTCTTTGGGACATTTATTTGCAAGACAGGCGAGAGAGAGAGTGGAGGAACATTTTAAAAGACAAGGAAATGCAAGAATAATGTCAGTGTTTCGTTGCCGTCATATTACCATGCGGCATTGTTCCCCCTTCCATACCGCTCCCTCTCCCTGTCTCGACTATTCCCTCTCTCTTACGTCCTCTCTCTAATCATATCTCTCACTCTCTCTTCCCTTCCGCATCTCTTTCAAGTTCTGCCCTCTTCGCCCTCTCTTTTCTACTCTTTATGTCCATTGTTTTTGTCTGATCTCTCTCTCTCTCTCTCTCTCTCTCTCTCT